AAAAAAAAAAAAAAAAAAAGGAACAAAACTGAGAGCTTTGGGGAGTCCCTGGATTAGTCAGTAATCACAGAAATACACAGAGTCACCGTGCCTTAATCCTGAGCTGTGTCACCGAAAACCCAGCATAATTTGAACTTCAGTTGAGTTGAGAACAAAGTGCCGTGGGAATGAAAGGTCACTGTGGCACCTTTGGGCCCTGACGACCTCGGCTCTCATGCTGAGAAGATCAGTGGCACCAGTAGTCCTGAGGTCTGGCCACTTGCTTTTCCTCACCACCATTTCCAGCCCCAGCACCAGAGAGTATTGCCAGAGCTTCTAGAAAATTCTGTCAGTGTGACAAATTAGCGTCATGACAATGATGCCTCTCTGCTAAACACAGCCACACTCAAGTCCTGTGGGGGTGGAGGGACCCCATGTGGTGGCCTTGCCTGTTGGGCTGTTGTCCCTCACCAGTCCCTGAGAGGCTGCCAGACGCAGGACTGAAGGCACAGGCCACTGGTCTGAGGGATGCAGCCCCAACTCTGTGTGGTCCTGAGGGACAAGTTCTTTTCTTGGTAATGGGAGATTTGCACCATTTCAAAGTTTGCTTGTAAAGAGAAACTTTATTGATTCTTTTGGTCTTTACTATTTTTAAATCAGAAAGTACACATTTACACAGTGCAGATTCACTGGCAACTCAAAATGCATGGAAGTTCTGAAGGATGCTGCTGGGGTGAGGCACTGGGAAGAAACTGGTTCTGAGGTAGAATGGAAAAAATAAAGATAGGTAGAAAGGGGATGAGGAAAATCAGAATTTAAAAAAAGTATACTTTTAAGAAAAGCTGCAGATCCAAGGCACAAAAGTTATTTAAGTCATTTTCTCTTCTTGTAAATGCACTAAAAAAAAAAAAACAAAAACAAAAACAACAACAACAAAACTCTCTAAAGGCCTTAAGACACAGGAGCCTGTGACTTGGGCCCTGGGCCCAGCTTTTCACCTGTGAGCAGCAGACTCCGCCCACAGGGAGCAGCAGCAGGAGCGGAGATCCCAGCTTCACACAGGAAACGGTCTGTGCTGGACAAGGCCAACTGGTGACCTGACACCTGGGGCGTCAGACACCTGTGAGGCAGACTCCGCCCACAGGGAGCAGCAGCAGGAGCGGAGATCCCAGCTTCACACAGGAAACGGTCTGCACTGGACAAGGCCAACTGGTGACCTGACACCTGGGGCGTCAGCACGCACCCCGGGACGGCCCCTCCTGAGGACACCCCGAGACCCATAATACGCCCCGGCTCCAGGTCGTTAAGGTGCCCTTCATGTTTTTTCAGGGCCCACACTCTATTTCTTTGAGTCCAGACTTTTTAAATTTCTGCCTAATAAATCCCTTTATGCTGCTTACTGAAAATGCCTTTTCCTGAA